TTCTATATGTTTTCTTGAAATTTAACCTTTTATTTTCACCGAGTTCATCCGAAGATTGAACGTTAAATGCTCGTAAGTAAAAAGGGTTGTTGTATTTGTGTACATTTTCTTTCAGTACTTCCATTCTATGCTGAATATTTTCATCTGGTGTTGGAGTCTTTTGTATGTCGGCAAACATTTTTCGATATTCTTCTACTATGTCAGCCGAATTTTTTTTAGACTCTTGGAAAGATTCCATATTCTCCGCATACTCTTGTTGAGGGTCAAGATTTTTCGGCTGTTCCAAATCTTCATCTAGTTCTGTGAAGTTAGTTTCCAAAGGAGGACTTGTTCGTTTCCTTCAGGCTCTTCAGCTGTTGTTGCTGAACTATTTCTTCCATGTCTGGTTGTATCTGAACTTCTTCCTGTGGAGTTTCTTGTACCTATCTGCTGGCATTTCATATATTCCGAGACCGTTTTCAACAATTTCCCTATCTACGTCATCCGCATTCATAAGCTTTTGTTCTTTCGTTCCGTCTCTATTTTTTACGCGTTTCATGACGAAAGTTGAATTGTCATTTAGCTCTGACATCAAATATCTCGGAGTAAATTCATCCATGTCATTTGGATGATATGCTATTAAATCATATCCCTTAGCGAGCTTGTATTTTCCAGGTTTGAGATTATATCCGTTTGGTGCTGAGCCATAAAGCTAAATAGGTTCGGGTCAGTATTTCCATCCTTGAACTTTCCAATAGCTTCTTTATATCTGTCACTAAAGTCAACAGTATCTGGGAAACCACACTCTTCTTTAAGCATTTTTAAGAATTCTTGGTTTCCTTGTTCTCTACTTCTTTTATGTCCTTGCTCTGTTTGTGGTTGTTGTTGTGCAGGGTTTTTGAACTGTTGGTTGCTGTGCTGGTTGTTGTGTTGGTTGTTGTGCTGGTTGTGGAGGTGGTTGTTGTGCTGGTTGTTTGTGCATGCCTGTGTCTGTGTCCATGTGACGATGTAAATGTTTTAGGTAGTCCTGGTGCAGGTGCTTCTCTTGGAGGGTTTGGTGGTATATAAGTTCCACCAGCTGGCACATATGTTCCATCTGCAGCATAGTGTCCTACCTGACTTTTCGTTTTTAAGAAAGCATTTACTAGGTCTGTTTTGGTCTGTTGTAACTCTTTTTTCTTGACTTTCCACAACAGTTGCTCTAACGGCGTCATAGGCACTTTGAACTGCCTGTCTCGTTGCTGCATCTGTTATTTTCGTCATATTTTGTGCTACTTCTTTTAACTCTTTGTCGAAACCTTCAGACTTCAGTTTCTTTCCAGATGAGAAGTCGTTCACTTGTTTCACCTTACTATGAAGAGCTTCGAAAGCGTTCTTAAAGTCAGCATTTGTTAAAGCTTCATTTGAACTATCTTCATCCGCTTGTATTTTGCCTTATTGACCCTATGAGTTGGGCTGCTTTAGCGTTGGCTTGGGCATCTAACCAGTCATTGTTGGCTTTTATATATTCTGCGCTTTTCATTGCCTTTTGCATAGCCGCGTCGTTATTTTTACTTTCTTGTGCTAAGTTTTCATACTGTACGGTTTGGTTTTGCAACTGTAAAAGTTTTTCTGCCTTTACATTTGCTTCAACTTCCTTTTTATACTCATCGCTATCCATATATGTCTTCAGGGCTTTTTGTTTTATCTCTTCATCTTTCAGTATTTTATATTGAGTAGTATGGTTTTTTCAAATTTATGACATCTTGTTCCATTTTTGCTACTTCTGCTGCTTTTTCTGACACTTTTTTCGCATATTCCTCTGTACTTAGTTCTTTCAGTTGTTCTTCTTTCTTCTTTTTCTCTACGTTTAACTCATTGAGTTTCTTTGTGTGTCTGTCATATTCTAGTTTCTTTTCGTTTTCACTTATTTGCTTCTGTATGTCTATGTTTGACTTTTTGACATCTGCTATTTGATTTTTGAGTGAACTCAAATTCATTTGACTTTGAGGGTTATATGCTGTTCCGTCTGCAGCTCCACCATAGCCTGCCATTTTCGCTAAAAGTGCCGCTCTTAAAACCTCCACTCTGTGCACCAAGAACTCGGTTTAAAAAGCATAGGATTGCTTGACATTTGTTGCAACATAGTGGGGTCATTCAGCATTTGTTGTTGCAACTGTTGTTGTGGTGTCAGTTTTACTATTGGATGTTTCAATGCTCTCTTCCTCTTACGTATATTCTTACGTAGCTTACGTGGCATTTTAAGTGAAGTTAAAAAGCGGTTTTTGACAGATGTTTATATGACACTTTTTGTTCAGCACAAAAAACTACTCGGTCAACGGCGATGACTCTCAAAAACCGTTGTGCAAAAAGTTTTACCGTTGGACAAAAAAGCATATATAGAAAACAAAAAACGTTTATAGTTCATTCAATATTTGAGATGGAACGGTTTTCCAACGGTAACTATTAAATAAAATAAAAAAATAGAGGGGGTTACCGTTGACGAAAACGGTTCATCTCAAACTTTTCTATGAGTGGTCCGAAAAAAACAGTTTATTTTTGTCTAATGGAAGGAAGAAAAAGTGTCGCAAACAATTCGTCGACTACCTCTGCAGTTAAAGTTCCTACAACTTATGTCTCACCATTCTCAAAACCCTTACAACCTCCTATAATACCAAAGCAACTTCCTCATACAATTGCAAACAATTCGTCGACTACCTCTGCAGTTAAAGTTCCTACAACTTATGTCTCACCATTCTCAAAACCCTTACAACCTCCTATAATACCAAAGCAACTTCCTCATACAATTGCAAACAATTCGTCGACTACCTCTGCAGTTAAAGTTCCTACAACTTATGTCTCACCATTCTCAAAACCCTTACAACCTCCTATAATACCAAAGCAACTTCCTCATACAATTGCAAACAAATTGTCCAACAATTCAAGACATTCTACTCAAGAAAATACCATACAAACAAACGAAACAACAGATACAGTTGTACCAGACACAACAGGACAAGTTTTACAGTCTTCTCCAATTGCAAACCAATTGTCCAACAATTCAAGACAATCTACTCAAGAAAATACCATACAAACAAACGAAACAACAGATACAGTTGTACCAGACACAACAGGACAAGTTTTACAGTCTTCTCCAATTGCAAACCAATTGTCCAACAATTCAAGACAATCTACTCAAGAAAATACCATACAAACAAACGAAACAACAGAGGAACAACCAAGCGCGTCATCGATGACGACAAGGTCCCAGATGAGATACCTCGCGTTCGCGAAGCAATTTCAATCAGGAGATACAGAAAATACAGAAGAAAACACTACCATACCTGAACGTGTTCGCAGGCAATATGCTAAAAAAAGACTTCAACTCCTTGAAAAACTCAAAAACCAATGGGGAATTCAAGACGACACCGATTATTCGGAAGTGTTTCAGTCTGTTATGGATAGTTTGCAACCAGTTGAAAATGAAGTTAAAGACCCAGGTGTTCTCGTGGACTTGTTTGTTCAATACTTGCCTGTTACAGCAAACCTAATTGCACTACAAGCCATCGACCAATTTATTAGACTTTTCCCCAAAAATATGCAAACTTATTTGCGAAATGTGAAAATTGCTGAGTATGTCAGCATATATCCCAATACCTACAACTATCTCGAAGAATTGGATGAGTATGGGCAAAGGTCCTTTTACGTATACTTTTTTACCAAACCAGGACAGTCAAAACGGTTATATTGTATACAACCTTTACCAGAATTTCAAGACAATTTCCATGTCATATCCACTATAGCGTTAGATACACCAGAAAGAGTTCCATACGGTGGCAAAGTTAGTATTTCAAGCTTCCCGAAAGCTACCAAAGGACATCCTATAAAATTGGCAGAATTCACTAATTCAAATTGCCAATTCAAACAGGATGTTGAGTTTGTATTCTTACACGATACCACATTCATAATACAGACACCTCCAGATGGACTCTACAAAGTATTTATAGCTGGACACGTAGCACCAGATGACGAAGAAGAAGTCGAAGAAATCCTCACCTCAGAGAGCGAAGAAGAAGAAAATTTCCAAGACATTCAAGATTCAGAATATACCGAATAAAAACTTCATTTATACTAAACATCTTCAGGGCTAGAGGGCACGAAGTGCCTGGAAGCCCCACTACCTTTTTTTTTTTTTTTTTTTTTTTTTTTTTATTTGCCGTATAATTATAAATACAATGAAACATATTCGAAATTGAAAAGAATGACTTTTTCTGTTCTTTCAATCATTCAATTTGAATTTTGCAATATTGGATTTCTCATTAAATGCCTATTAAAAACAACAAGCAATTTAACTTACATTCAAATTTATTTGTGTTATATTCAATCTTCTCAAAACTTATAATTTTCGGCTATAGCATGATTATATGCTATATAATATAATAAACCTATAATAGTATCATTCTTTCAATTATTTGAAGAGAAAACCGAAAAAATCTATTTTCGGTCTATAACAATTACACATTTCATCCAAAATAACGTGCTTTTTCTATCCGCTCATTTCAACTTTTATCGGCACGCAGCTTAACTCAATTTTGATGTTTTTTCGCATTAACATGCAGCCCATATTAAATCCTGCATTTTACTGACATTATACCAGTTTATTTGAGAATTATGATTCTTTGATATCTCTTGTTTTAATTTAAATACATATAGTGAAGTTTCGTATGCTTATGGACATTTGAGATTTTTATTCCAAAAACGAATATCGCTTATTGTCAATGAAATATATTTTCATTCAAGATGAAGAATGCATAATTCAATCATAATCTACTATTTCCAAATTGTTTTGCATTTAGACATTAATTTGATAAAGAATATTATCTTTCGAAATAAAATATTATCAAATCAAAACATGCCATAATACATATCTTCAAATAAAGCATCTGTTAAATAGAATATGTACAACTCATTACATGTTTGAATCTCTAAAAGTGACGAAAATGAAACCTTGCTATATGCAGGAAGACAAATTTTAAATGTAAAGGGGTTTAGCTCAATGGGAGAGCGCAGATAAAATCTTTAGTATTGATAGTAAGATTTCTTACATCAAACGTTCAGATTTATAATCCTGAAATCTTGGTTCAACTCCAAGAACTCCTATTTTTGGTTTTTCCTTTTTGATATTTCAGTGTGGGAAGGTATATTAGCGATATTTTTTGATATTTAATAATCTAGCATATGCAGCAATCTTATATATAAATTAGATTAATCATGACATAATTTCAATCAAGTAGAATTTTTTAACCATCAACATTTTTCATTCAAAAATTGAATTAGTTGTCAAATTTGTAATTGATCTTAAAAGTGTAATAAACAGAAATTCATCAAAAGTGACAGCTCTCAATTTTTTGACATCTGTAAATTCTAAATTGAATGAGAAAAATGAAATAATACTAAGCATAATACAATATTCTAGATTTAATTATAATTAGGAAAAAGTTAGTTTTGAGAGTACTTTTCATAGGCATATAGAATGAAATCTTCTGAAAAATAATATCACATAAACTCATATTATTTTCTAATATATAACTATTTTATATAAAAATCAAATTCAATGATCTTAAAAGCGAAGGATAAACCTCAAAATTTACGAATATAATGAGTGGGAATATAATGCTTATCTATCATAAAACCATATGAAATATCAATTTTTGCTTTACGCCTAATTTTTGACGACAATTAGCAAAAAATGTTAAACGTTAACACTCAGTCCATTTGAATATGAAAAATAAAATTGACTTTGATTAAATGTTTTTATTTATCATGCAATTCTTCTTGCGACCAAAGATTTGAATAAAAGTTCAAAAAATAAGATAGCTTAAAAAATAATATACGGTAGTGTTTACTAATAGATGAATAGTATATAAATTCTATTAAAATGGATTTGATCCAAAAAAATATATAAAATTTGATCATAAATAAAATCGTTTTAAATTACTTCTTCATTTAAATTATAACAATTATTTTTGGTTTTATATTTTTTTGGATCAAATCCATTTTAATAGAATTTATATACTATTCATCTATTAGTAAACACTACCGTATATTATTTTTTAAGCTATCTTATTTTTTGAAATTTTATTCAAATCTTTGGTCGCAAGAAGAATTGCATGATAAATAAAAACATTTAATCAAAGTCAATTTTATTTTTCATATTCAAATGGACTGAGTGTTAACATTTAACATTTTTTGCTAATTGTCGTCAAAAATTAGGCGTAAAGCAAAAATTGATATTTCATATGGTTTTATGATAGATAAGCATTATATTCCCACTCATTATATTCGTAAATTTTGAGGTTTATCCTTCGCTTTTAAGATCATTGAATTTGATTTTTATATAAAATAGTTATATATTAGAAAATAATATGAGTTTATGTGATATTATTTTTCAGAAGATTTCATTCTATATGCCTATGAAAAGTACTCTCAAAACTAACTTTTTCCTAATTATAATTAAATCTAGAATATTGTATTATGCTTAGTATTATTTCATTTTTCTCATTCAATTTAGAATTTACAAATGTCAAAAAATTGAGAGCTGTCACTTTTGATGAATTTCTGTTTATTACAATATAAGAATTACATCAAAAGCTAATTACTATTAATGAATTTTACTAATATTAAAAATAACAAACAAATTTTTATTTATTCAACAATATAAGGTCGATGAAAAAATGAGCGTTTTTAAAAAACCGCCGTTTGAGAGGAAAATTGAGAGCCCCGATGTATACTTTTTGACATTGTCAAAAACTTTGAAAGGACAAAAAAAATTTTAGTGTCAGAAAGTTTACAAATGTATACTTTCTGACAAACAGACTCTCAGAAAGTACTCAAACTGCGGTTTTTAATTTCCGCACTTTTTTTTGACCTTATTCTTTTTTGCGTCGAGAACTTCGAGGAACCAAGGGTTTTGATGAAGGAGGACGCACAGCATATTGATATTCTTCCGCAGAAGCTCTTTTAGAATCTGTTGCAGTCTTCAAGTTCAATCTCGGCAAATTATAATTTTCTTTTCTTGCACTTTGTATAACTCTGTTGTTATTTTGTGGAGGAGCTTTAACAAGAGGCAATGCTTCAGAGTTATTCAAAGGAAGAGCGAATCCTCCACCACCGAAAACACTATCTCCACGGTGTCTTCTCTTGTATGGTCTGAACCTTTCTCTGTTGTTTGCTGTCGATGCACGGGCAGTTAATAATAATTTTTTGATGACATTTCTTTCCATTTTTTCTGATCGAAGTTCATCTCTTATTGTATCAATTTCTGCTTGTTTTTTGAGAACGTCAGGACTCTTGTTTTCGAATTTAATTTCTAAGTTATCCAATTCTTTTTGCTTTTCATTCAAAGTCTGATTTAATTCATTGATTTGATCAAGATATTGGTTACAATGAAGTCTTCTTAATGTTGTTTCTGCCTTAGTTAGTTTATCACGTGTATTCTTCTCAGTGATTCTTAATTTATTGCATTTATTCACAGCAGCGGTGATTTCATCTATTAATTTGTATTTGAATCTCAACAAATTAGCCTTTTCTGGATCTGTATGTTCCAGGAAAACCCATTTGTTAACAGTTATTGGACTACTAAGTTCTTGTTCGATTGCAACACTGAGGCCTTGATAATAAATGAGTTCTTTGAATAATCTTTTGTATTCTTCTTGAAGAGCTTTACAAGTCTTAAGTTTATAGTTGAGTTTATCTCTTCTTACAAGAGCTTTTTGCAAAGTTTCTTTACTTTCTTCTATTTTATCAATGATTTCTTCAAAAGAGTTCTTACATTGATTTAAAACATTAGTCATTGATGTGATCTTGGAATGTTGTTCTTGTATTTCCAACAAATTCTGCGCTATACCATTCTTTATCATTCGAATATCACTACTAATTTTGTCATTCGTTGTTTTGAGGACAGAAACATCAATATCACCTTGACCAACAATATGTATTTTATTTTCAATCTCTTCTTCAAGTTCTTTAACTTTTTTATATTGTTCTTCTGTAACTTTCTCGAGTTGTTCTTTTTCTTCGTTCATTGATTCAAGTTCATTTTGAAGATTAAGATAAACAAGATGTTCACGAGCTCCTTGATCATCCAATTTCCTTATTTCTTCTTTAAGTTGAAATGCTTGAGCTTTAATAGTATTAAATTCACTTCTTATTGCATCATTTGCCTTTTCTTCATTGATTACTTGACGTTTCAAAGTTACATAATTATTATGAACAGCAACTTTTAATGTACTTATTTGATGTGTTTCATTTTGTATATCATTTAACTTTAAGTTTAACTCATCTACCTTTTGAAGATTACTTTCTATTACTTGATTTACAGAGATAATATTATGATTATTTTCTCTTGTTTGATTGATATTTTCATTTATATCTTTTTGGATATTATCAGCAACACTTGAATTTTCCATAATTGCAGCTTTTTGTGATACTATATCTCCTTGTACTGATCTACTGAGTGCTTCAACATATTGGTTTGAAGATACTTCAGTTCCAATTTTATTTTGTAATTCTCTTACGCTTTTATCAGCAGCATCTGTATCAAGACGTTTCTTTCTTATATCAAGTTGACTTCTATTGATTTCTACCAAAGCATTTGTCATAATTTGTTGATTATCAAGAACAGCTTTTCTATATTCTGCCTTTGTTTGTGATAATTCTTTTTTATAACGTTTGAGTTCCGCATCATCATGTCTAAGATCTTCCAGTTCTTTATCTAATACAACAATTTGTTCTGGTAATGACCTTTTCATTTCTTCTTTTTCGATTATTTCTTTTTCCAGACGTTCTTTAATTTTTAGAGTTTCATTTGTCTTTTGTTGTGCAGCTTCTAACATTTTTTGTGTCTTCCTCAAGCCAACAATTTGATAAGTTCTATCTGCTTCATCATTCTTGTAATCATCTGCTAATCTGACCTTTAATTTCTTCATTTCGTTGATGTTTTGCTTTTTAGTTTGTATTTCGTTTTTCAGACGTTCGGTTTCATCCATTTGCTGCTTAATTACTTTTTGGAATTCTGTTGTATCATTTTGAATCTTTGTTATCTCTTCTCCTAGATCTACAACTGATTGCTTCCCTTCATAAATCTCTTTTTCTGAATCTTCAATTTCTGGGGCAATTTCTTTAGTAGATTTTATCATCGATGATGTCTCAATCTTAGTGTTGTCAATATCATTTCGTAATTGTGTTAATAAATCTGAATTCTTTTGAATTTCTGCTTTGATTTTTGTTATATCATCTTGAACATCTTGCATCGGTGTATTATCGATAATCTTTTCTTGTGTTCGTTCAAGAGCCACAAGTTTTGATAAGTTTTCGATTTCTATTTTAAGATTCACAATGATCATTCTTGATTTTTGTTCTTTTTCGGATGAAACATCTATGATATTCCATGCTTTTTCAAATTCAGATCGTAGTGTTCCTATTGTTTTCTGGTCTTGCTGAGTAATTGAGATAATGTTTGCGATTTGTTTTGAGTTTTTGAGTATATCTGCATTTAATTCACTTGCTCGCTTTACTAGTGCTTCATTATGCTCATGGGATGCTATTAAAGCTTCATGAAGTTTTTCATATTCCACTCTAAATTTTTCTAAGCTTTTATCATTCACCAATTCTTGAATAACACGTGCAAATGAGTTTTCTAGCTCCGTCATTGATACAGTTTCATCGCCAGCATCATCTGGCTTTGACGGGCTGCTCATACAAGAAAAATTATATACGTTTATCAAAAAATTTCGTTCATAAAATTCAAGAATATTTTATCATGCAGTTTTATTCATTTGCTCCTATTAAGTTGACATTTTGATCTATTCAAGTTTATGACAAAGATTTGACTAAGAAATTTGATTCAAACTGTTTATTGAGTTCAAAGGATATCACAAAGGAATCATAGCATTATTGGAAACAAAATATTATTGCAATTAGAAAATTCAAGAATTTGAGTAATGAGTTTAAATATTTTTCCGTATTTAATTCAAATTTATGATAAAATTGAGGGTATTCACGTCATATATTTATATGACTGCTTACAGAGAGCTGTATAATGCCTGTTAAAGAAATCAAGCGATTTGTGGCCTTAGGGCAAACATTTGAATATGTTTTCTACCCGGGTTTGTATTTTGTCGAATCTTATGGTCCTTCGGGCGGAGGTGATGGCCATGGTTCATATGTATCCGGTATTGTCGGGATAAATACAGCAATAAAGGTTTATGTGACTCTTGGCGGAAAAGGTCAAACAGGCAAATTTGACGGCTCGATAACCCCTGGTGGAGTAAATGGAGGCGGAAATGGCGGTAGAGGAAGTTTATATAAGGGAAGTATGACAATATCTGGTGGATCTGGTGGCGGTCGAACAGTAATTTCTTTGAATTCAGATCAAACATCACCTGTAATCGTTTCCGGTGGTGGCGGTGGTGGGGTAATGACTAGTGCTCAGTATCAATTCTTTAGCTTTGTTTGGGGAGATGCTGGTGGAATAAGGAGCAATGATGCTTCTTTTCAAACTTATTCTTATGTCCATGGAGTGTCGCAATCATTTAGAATTGAAAATGGCAGCGGACAAAATGGGAGAAACGGAATAGATAACACGGATTTATTTGCAGAAGGATCAGGCGGTGGTGGGGCTGGATATCGAGGAGGTTTAGCACCACAAGATGCTGGAACTATTACACCTGGATCAGGAGGAAGCTCCTATATCTCTGGTCATCAGGATTGCGAAATCGAAAAAAGATTCGTTTTTACTAAATGCATATTAAAGAATGGCACAGAAACTCAGTATGATGGCGATGGATACGTTATCATTTCCAGAATAACTTTAACTGAATCATCATGTCTGATTTTATTTTATCAACGTTCTATTTATTTCTTGTTTTTATTTATTTTAGGATAAACAATACTTTATTTCAATACTAATTTTTAATTATAGATAGAAGTTCACATTAATATGTGGAAAGAAGGTGTTTTATTAATCACATTTTAGTGTAGATTCTTATATCATCAACTCGTTTATCAGTGGTTCAGTTTCTTTTAATCCTGCTACTATTAATGCGTAATTTCGATTTATCAATGAGAAAATAACAAAAAATCAATGATTTAAGAACTCTCACTTGATATATATCGATTGATTTAGCATGCAGTATGATAATGGAATAAAGACAAGTCTGAATATTAATTTTTAGATCTTCATAAAATCTTGTACACTTAATAGACATGATATTGTTAGAATAGGTGATAGCTATTATGACAGTCTTGCGACTAAAAATGATCACCATCGCGCTTGCTATAAGGAACCATTTACAATTTTTTTATATTTTTTTTTATCCAAAAAAATGTTCTTCTTACTTGTTTTATCTTCACTTTCCGAAAATATTGACAACGGAAAGGGTATATATAAATCAGTCCAAAAAGGTGATGAGAAGAAAGATGCCACCTTTAAAAATCCAGATAAAAATGTTTCAATCAATTTGGGAAACGTGAAAGCTCAAAATTCTCTTCAAAATGTAAAAAATATATCTCAAATAAACGACAACGCAACTGATTCCGACGAAATTGATTTAGAATTACTAAATCGCGAAATTGTTAGAAAAGAACGAAGAGAAAGAGAACAAAAATTAAAAGAAATGAACCTAAATGCGACAAATAACACAAATACACACGATTCTAAACCAGAAAATTCATCAATCGAGTTCGAAATTCCTTCAAATGAAAAAACTACAAATAAAACAGTAAAAAATGAAAATACAATGATGAACAAAAACGAATCTTTGCAACAAAATGAAAATTCAACAGAGATAAAATTAAATGTCGAAATAAACAATGGAAACGCAACGGAAATCGTGAAAAGTAATCATACCGAGAAACAAGAATCCGACAACAAACTACATCTTAATGAAAAAGATCAAGAAAAAGAAAATGAAATTAATAAAGAAATTAGCGATATTATTGACGATAATAATCATAATGCAACAGCTGAAAATAATGAAAACGATCTTAAAAACGATCCTGTGAAACTTAAAAACGAAACAAACTTTGAATCAGAAATAATCAAATCTTTATTGAACGAGACAATTCCTGATCAACAAAATGAAACAGTGGCTAACCTTACAAAAGCTAATTCCACAAAATTGGCAAAAAATAAAATTGATATTGCGAATTTCAGACCACTTGAAATAATTCAGGACGATGAAGTAATGAATGAAACAATACAGCATGATAACATGACTAAAAAAGAAGAAATCCAAATTAATAAGAATAATGAAACAATTTCAGGTAAAAAACCAGAAGAACACCTCAAGAATGACGTAAAAGTTAATGAAACAGAGATTAGCAAGTCTTCTGGAGCGGAATACATGAAGAATACGACAAATACTGAAATTAAACAAGAAAACACAATCAAAATCGAAGAAATTGTATCAGAAACCAACATAACCAATGAAAACATAACTGAAAACGCAACAACTACAAAAATTGAAAATAAATTAAATATTAGTGAAGAAAATTCCACAAAAATCAAGTCCGAAAAATCACAAACGATAGAAGAGACAAATTCAACTAAAGCGGTCCCAGAAAAATCAGAAATTAACGTTTCTCAAATTCAAACACAAAACGAAAGCATTACAACCATAGATGAATATGCCGATAATGGAAACATTACTGTCAAGGACAAATTAAATGAAAAACCAAAAGATAAAATTATCAAATCCCAAAATGAGACAAAAATCGAAGAAACAAACAATGAAACAATGATTAAAGAAGAAAATAATACAATTGTCCAAGAATCAAAGGTTATTTCGGAAGTAAAAGAGAATATTTCCGAAAATCAACCACAAAAGCAATCAGATGCTCAAAACACAGAGAAAACGGATGTAACCGAAGAAGGTACATCAAATGTTACTCATTCAGAAGAGAAAATACAAGAAAATCCAAATATTACAATTTCGGAAGTAGAAAAGGAGCCAGATACACAAGAAAACATCAAATCAAACATTACAGAACCAGAGAAATCTTTGATTGATCATTCAGAAGAAAAGAATTCAGATAATAAAAATATTTCAGAATCAAAGGTCGAAAAACAATCAGAAACACAAGAAAAAGAGAAAGCAGATGAAATCAAAGTAGAAAAATCCATTGTTGATCATTCCAAAGAAACAATTTCAGAAAATAAAAATTCGTCAGTTTCCAAAGCCGAAAACAAATCGAGTGAATCCCAAATCTCGATTTCTAATGTCTATGATGACGATATTATCGATTCAATATCATCATCTCCAACAGATATTCCAGCTCCAAAGGAAGTTAACCTTGGCGAGTCCTCAGTTGTTGATTCCACCTCAACGACACATTCCAAACAGGTTTCCACTGACAACGAGTGCACACAACCTTGCCATCAAAACGCGGAATGCATCAGAGGAAAATGCGAGTGCAAAGAAGGCTATACAGGCGATGGAATCAAAGTATGTACAGATGAGATCCCGGATGTTGTGTCTTTAGATCCTTCTTCAGGCGATTCAAGCGGTGGAGCTGAAATCCAAATAACCTTGTCAAAAATTATTACAACAAAACACTCTGTTTTCGTTAGATTTGGCTCTTCTATTGTCCGCGCACAGTCAGCAGTACAGAAAGTTGTTACTGTTGTTGTTCCTCCGCATGAAGCCGGTGAAGTTCCCGTCGCAATTTCTTACGACCAAAAGAGTTGGAGCTCTAAAACAAAATTGTTCAAATACACACAGGAAGGAAATAACGGAAAGTTCGGATTATCCTTCAATGTTGTTATAATTGTTGTTATTGTTGTTGCTGCTGCAATTGGAGCTGCTGTTTCAAAGTTTAAGTCGGGAAAGAAGAAATCTAAACCAGTAATTTCAATAAACTCCCAATATGATGATAAGGAAACAGAAGACTTTGAAAGGCAACCTCTACTTCCTAAGAAGAGATCTCATCAAGATTAATTTATCTGTCCGATAATTTATTTGAAATAAAATATTTACATTTTCGCATAATTATTTGATATTTTCTCAAGACAGTCATAATGCATTTTTTATGTATGATTCAATTAACCAGTTTTAAATTGATGAAAGTTAATCTCAATTAATTTTTAATGTCTATGCACTCATAGTATAGAATTCCACCACTTCATTGTCGTAGCTACGTTCAATCAAGAAGATAACATAAAATCATAATCAATATAATTTTTGTTCGAACTGTTTATCAATAATACATCCAGATGATTGAAAAGTTATTAAAAAAGATTTTCTTCAACAAATAGCTAAAGAAGTAAAAAATTTAATTTACAAACAAATAATATATATATATATTTTCTGATCTAAACCATGAACGATGATAATCGTTTGTTTTTGATCATATTTTGAGCCTTATCGGCGCAAGAAAGGCAGTATGGCTTATTTCTAATAAAAGAATAAGGAACGTGTGCCAAATTTTGGCGACATCCAGTGCATACAAAGCATTCTGGATGAAAAACCAAACCATTGCGGACGATATTTTGGCCTTCGACTTGTAATTTGCAAACGCAACAAACAGATTTCGGAGATTCGGGGGCATGATTCGGACAGTAGAATTTCCCTGATCGTTGTACGAAATTATTTTGCTGAAGAACTTGACCACATTTTGCACAGGTAAAATGCTCTTCACAGAAACATTTTCCGGCTACTATCACTGGTTTATCAGTGAGCTGGCCATTGCATTGATGACAAATAGGTGCTTTTGGCTTTACCATCCTTGCACAATTCTGACAGTAAACATCGTTGTTAATTGTAATTGGAACATGAAGAGGCCCTCCACACCTTTTGCACACAAAGTGCTTTTTATGGAATGGCAAAGGTCCATGGTAATAAACATCATTACCACATGGATTACCACATCTTGTGCACCGTGGGCCAAAAGAAGCTAATGGAGTATATGAATCTGCTGCCGTATCTGTGGGAGCGGACATATTTCCTAAAGATCTAATAATTTTTAACACTTCCTCGTCCTCTGGTTCCATTGGAGCTGCAGAGTATGATGTACTAGGCATTATCCGCGGAACAGCAAAATCTACTGGCCCATGAGGTTCAATAGGAAGGTATTTTGACATAATAAAGAATTGACAAATATCTTTCAAAAATCATTTATTTTGAATGCAATACTTTCAAAAAAATTGAATGAAAATCGATAAAATGAAAATCAAAACCATCTTAAATTTATTTTCTTGATCGATGAGGATGGCATATGCCGATCTCTTTTTTCTGAACGAAAATGCCTTACAACTTTCGGTTATAAAATTGACAATAAACATTTCAATTTTATTAAAACCACAAATGAATAATTATTACTCTGGAAATTTGGAAATGTATTAATCAGACAAATACACCATCTTACGCACGCATTCATACAATTTTAAGATAGCTTTTTTTTTGAATGCGATAGGAACTCTAATGTCAGCTTTGAGGTTAAAATCTTTTCGCAAATAATGTGATTCATGCCTTTGCTCTAATTACAAAGAGTCCATTATTTGAATCTGGGTGAAATTCAATCTTCTACAGAAGATTTGCGATATTAAAATAGTTTTTCCAAGTTCACCGAAGTATTTAATGTTATTTTAATAGAATAGCAGGTTTGGAAGATGAGAAATGTTTTCTAAGTAATTATGAAAGATTAGTAGTATATGAGGGCGGGTTATGTGACATTTTTTGTAAACGTAAGAATTCATACAATATTGAACGATTTTGTATCATTATTTTTAACATTAATTTTAAAATAATTTATTTTTTTTTATTCTTACATAAATGACCCAACAAGTAAAACCAGATAAAATAGATTATCGAATTTTAGAGGATGGTGTTCCTGTTTATATTCAAAGATTTAAAGGGAAGTAATATTATAGAATTCTTAATCCTGAATACATAAAACATTTATTTAAAAAGGAAGACTGTGAATTATTAAACGTTAATGAATATGAAACCAATATAATATTTGAAGATAACAAACTTACAAGCTTCGAACATGAAAATGATATAATATTCGAAGATGAAAAAAAGAAAGAGATTGAAAAGCAATTCAATGAATGCCTTTTAAATACATATGCGCACATTATAAGACATAAAATGAAATTAATTCCTTATTAATCAAAAATATTTTTTTTATCTTTATATAAAGATGACAAATAGAAAATTTTTCATCTTTGATATCTATTATTGCCCAAACGTGTATGGACTACATGTAGAACTTAAAATAAAGGAAAGGGATACATATGAAGAATATATAAAATTTTGTAGAAAAAACGATTATATACCGGAGTCAAAGAATATATTCTTGCAAAATATAAAACCTATTATAAAGGTCGGAAAGATTAAATTTCCGTGCATAGTAGAAATATACTTAGATGATGTATGTGACGAATTTCAGAAAAAGATAAAATTTACAATCGATGTTTACAAGATAGGATCTATATGAGACAGAATAGATTCCCAGATACTGTTCAAGATAAAGATTCCGAAAACAATGGTTACTTCTATGATCTATTAAGCGCTATACTACGATTCATTGCCATTTCAGATGATTATATTGTTAAATTCCATCCAAAATATGATCCAAATCCATACACATCCATATTATGCAACCTGACAAAGTATGGAAAGAAGTTTACCATCCTCACCACACCGTATTCTCATTACTATGCAATAAAGAACTATGGAAATCAAACATTTTACGGTGACGATAAAACTTGTCCAAGTGGAATTGTTATCGAAGATAGCGGTCTTGGTGCCAATAACACTCCTGAAGGTGTTATTTACTATACAGATATAAGTAATTCATATACAAATCATCTTACCCATGGAAAATTCAGAAGAATTAGTGATGTCACAATGGCGATGCTTTTGGACAGTGGTAACTATGAAGTTGATTGGACAATGGCTCAGCCATTAATATGGGGAAATAAAGATTCAATCGATGGACAATTTATCAAAGATTGGCCCTTAGCCCCTCCCCAAACAGCTTTACCAGATAATTATTTCTTTAACCCTGGTTTACAACAAACTAATATTGGCTATGATTTCAACACATGGGGAACTCCATATACAGAAGCAATAAATTGTTCAAATCCAGCAGGTGAAGTACAAAGAGAATACTGCAATAATCCAACATATTACAATCCAAAAGGATACTTTCAAACTGGTGTAATCGACACATATAATTATCAACCAGTAAAATTCCCTTCATTTATGTGTCCAAGTGGAAAGGCAGCTGTTGAAGGTTTGACACAATACTCTGATGATACATGTGCAAGTTATCAATGCCATGGATACACCAGCTTCACATTAGATGTTATTGTTGATGAAACAACAAATGCAACACAGACATTCACATGTTCATCGAAAGGACAAACATTTACATTCACTAGAACCTATCCAGGTAACAGATATTCAACAAAAACTGTTACATGCCCATCACCAGAACAGTTCTGCAGAACAAGACAAATGTTGGATCAACACTTCACTAGTGATCCATTTGTTGGTGTACTCTTCCCAACACCAAAACCAACACCTGCGCGAACACCAGCTCCAACACTGAAACCAACACCCCAGCCTACACCAATTTTCGATTCTATTCCATAATTCGAACCAATCAGAATCAAAAATGATTGCAGATTCTTCAACGGAACATATCCCGATCCACAGTCATGTTCATCGGTTGGACAAACTGTTACTTGGGGTGGTGGAACTTTCACATGCCGTGAAGAAGACATTATGACCGCAGAGCAAATTCAAGCATATCAACAAACAATTGAAAACACCAGAGTATATTTAGAGCGAATATTGCGTGTTAAACCACTTCCAGACAGATACATTGGTTACAGCGATGAATTCTCTGCAGCTATGAGAAATTTAACAGTCATTGCAACAAACTGTGATTTATATATTGTATGGATGGTCCATCCAAGTGATTCAGATGATGATTTATTCCAAGTTGCAGATATTAGTTATTGGGATACGACATATTGGGCATATCATCAAATGACAGTTATTTTTAATCCAAGAAAAATTCCTACTCAAGCATCCCAGATCAATACAAGAAATGACAATTTCTTTAATAATCTAATGTCAGCAATATTAGTTGGTATACAAACTCGTGGACATTTCCATGCTAAGTTATCATCAAATTATTATCCAAATCCTTACTGTTTCTTTACGAAGAATGAAATTCAATATGCTGTTCTTACAACTCCTTATGCTCATCATCATGGTAAACATTTCTTTGGACAAGAATGGTTCGTTGGAGATGACAATACTTGTCCATCAGGAGTTTTATTATATCCAGATTCTTTGAGACCACACACAGCATTTTATCCCGAAGATATGCTTGTTCCTTTAAATCTTCAACATGATGGTGTTCCATTCTTAAGATTCACAGAGGTTACAATGGCAAATTTACTTGATTCAGGAAACTTCGAAGTTGATTGGAGATTTGGAAAACCGCTTATCTTTGGTAATAAAGAATACATCAATGGTGAATATATGCCAAATTGGCCACTTGGTCCTGCTTATACAACACTTCCTTGGTATTATTTTGAAAATCCAAATGTTTCACTTGATGAGTCTTCATTTACATTCAAATCATGGGGAATTGCATCTAGTTATAATGGAGATTGTTCAGATCCAAATATTGCATCGTATTTCACAGAATATTGTAATGCACAATCATACTATAATCCATATGGGTATCAAAAATTCGGCTCGAAATATATAAACTACTATTTACTTAAAGGACAAAGACATTATTGCGATGATGGAACAGCCACAATTCCAGGCATGACATACTATGATGAAGATGAATGCGCTGTTTATAACTGTGCAGATGATTATCAATCATTCACAATAAACGTTGTAACTGATCAAGTAGCTCATGAATATCTTTCAATTAACTGCTCAGCTGATGGGCAACAATATTCATATATTAAGAATTATGCAGTTGGTGCACAGCTTACCAGAACAGTTGTTTGCCCTCCACCAGAAGCATTTTGCAGAACAGTAGAAGGATATGATGAATGGTATCCAAGTAATCCATTCCAGAATGTTTTATTCCCTACGCCAACACCATTCGCTACACCAAGAATTACACCAAAAGTTACTCCAATCATGACGCCAGCTTATACTCCTAAGAACACTCCAGTTAAGACACCTTATTCAACAGCAAAGACAACACCATTTATCACACCTTTTAAAACACAGCACACAACACCATTTGTTACAGTGTTTTCAACACCAGTATTCACACATAAAACAACACCAATTAACACACCATTCAAAACACAATTCATGACACCTCATTCTACTCCTCATTCAACAGCAGCTTACACACCTAAATATATGGCTAAACAGACACCATTCAAAACTGCCCATTTGACTCCTAAATTGACACATTTTAACACTCCAAAGTTGACTCCTCATTCAACTCCTCATTCCACGGCACAAGTTACACCTCACATTACACCTTTTTATACTCCAATTGCTACATATGCAGAGTCAGCAAGCCGTAAAGTCTATCGTAAACATAAACCAGGAACATACATGGGCTTTGCATACTTCTGCCAAGAAGTTTAATATGTTTATTATTACTAAAAAAATTGCGATTTTTTTTGTATTATAAATTTATAATATCTTATCAAGACATTGATTCATATGATTACAATGAATTGAGAAGTAACAATGAATGCTATTTTAATTGGAATAATGCGTTATATTAACTAGAAAACAGATTATTAAAAATTGAAAAGTTGTTAACCTAGTTAGTGATTGCTTAAATTATATTGCAAAATGTATATTTATGTAAGGACATTGAAATCATTTCAAGTTTCTTTCACATTTTGATTGAAATTCAAATAATGTGAAAATGATGATAATTTTTTACTGTCGAATAAAGGCATTGACTCTTATGAATATAATGAATTGTTTTTAGGTAACGGTTCACTTCATCTTCACAAGACGTGTAGTTTACAACTATTCAATTTTGAAATACGAATAAAGGCATTGACTCTTATGAATATAATGAAATATAAGGCATATCGATTGGTATTTCAAAATTGAATAGTTGTAAACTACGCATCTTGTGAAGATAAAGTGAAACGTTACCTAAAAACAATTATCTTAAAAATTGAATAGGTATAAACTAAGCCAACGGTTTCTTAAATTTTTTAATGTGTAATCAAGGCATTGACCCACCTGATTACAATGTATTGAGGAGTAACTATAAATCCTATATTGATTCGTATAATGCGTTATATCAGCTAAAAACGGATAAAGAAGAAGATTTAAGATCAATTTACAATATGATCAAAACAGAATTGATTGATTCAAAGAAGCAACTCCCAGAAAATGTCATCCAAGATATTTTAGATCTCATTCCTTATAACAATCGTTATTCAAATTCATACTTAGTTCTTGTCAAGCTCATTTCTGAAGATTATCAAGTAACAATTGATGTCAATCCAATTGAAGATTTAACTAAATGTTACCTTCACGAAGAGGATGGAAAAATCATTTTAGGCGCAATAGTTAACAGTTCAAAAAATCAAGACATCCATTCGGAAAATACGATTTACAGAGCAATTATGAATGATGACAAAGAAAGATTCATTTCATTCACAGAAAGTGATAGTTTTGATAAAAATCAAAAACTTAAAAACAATTTATATCCATATCATTCGACAAGTTATTCATTTCTTGAATTATGTTGCTACCATGGAGCAGTTGATTGTTTCAAGCTATCAAGATCGAAATTTAAATCAGAAATAACTCAGCAATGCCTAGAATTTTCATTTTTGGGTGGAAATCCAGATATCATGAGTGAATGTTTGAAGTATCAAACACCAGATGAAGAATGCATGAAATATGCAATTATTTCGCACAACATTGATTTTGTTACATTCTTGATGAATGAATATGATATAGAGATTGATTTAGAATACTGTGGAGAATATAATAATCTTGAAGCATTTTTCATTTATTTCGACCAAACTAATGATGTTGACAAATGCTTTATTTATTCACCGATATTTAATATTCCATCCCTTTTCGAATTATTCATTTCACTTGGTGCAGACATCAATGCAAAAGATATAAATGGCATAACAGCTCTTCATCAGGCATCAATAAGTAATAATAAAAAGGCAGTCGAATTCCTTCTTTCACATGGTGCAAATGTCAATGAAAAATGTTATGACTTCAAAACAGCTCTTCATTTTGCGACAATTCTTAATTATATAGAAATAGTTGAACTTTTTCTTTCGCATGGTGCAAATATCAATGAAAAAGATTTTGATGAAAAAACTCCTTTTGCTTATGCCATGTTACATAATTATAAAGAAATAATTAAACTTTTTCTTTTACATGGTGCAAATCCCAATGAAATAATTAATGAGGAATGTACAGCTCTTTTCTATTCTTTGTTCAATGATGATAAAGAAATAACTGAACTCCTTCTTTCACATGGTGCAAATGCCAATGAAAGAATGAATGATGAAAATACAGCTCTTCATTTTGCCTCGATACGCGGAAATAAAGAAATAGTTGAACCTTTTCTTTTGCATGGTGCAAATATTAATGAAAAAAATTGCGATGAACTAACAGCTCTTCATCTAGCAACAAACTCCAAACACAAAGAAATTGTTGAACTTCTTCTCTCCCATGGTGCAAGTATCGATGAAAAAAATATTACCGGGCAAACACCTCTCTTTTTTGCAGTTCATAACAAATCTATAGAAATAGTCGAACTTCTCCTTTCACATGGCGCCAACATCAATGAAAAAGATATGTTTGGAAAAACACCCATTTTTCAAGCAGAATCTTTTAGGGAATTAGATTTGATTGAGTTTCTTATTTCACATGGTGCAAATATTAATGAAACAAATAACAATGGAGAAACACTTCTTGATTGTGCAATTTCTATTAATAATGCAGAATTAATCGAATTTCTTCATTTACATAACTCAAAGAGTTAAATTATGTTCTAAGAATTTATAAATTATTTCCTCCATAAAACTTCAATTTCTAAGAATTTTTACAAAAAACATTATAAATATTGATTACATCCTATTATAAATTTGACAAATTATTTATTAGACCCGATCTTAATAATGAACTTCCTTATTGGAATCGAGAGTGCCATTATATTCAAAATCCTCGTGTTAATACACTACATTCACAGAATCTAAGTTCTTCTTTGTGAAAAATCGGCTTCAATATATCGAGATACAGTTTGAATCTAATTTTAATAGTATGAGCAGTATGAGATCTTGCAAAATATATTAGTTACATGTACTGTTATTGCTTTTTACAGATTAGTGACTTTGTATATTTTCGATATTACCATATTTATATGTATATTTACTCGCAAAATGATAAACTATTATGTATATTTATGTTGAATATAATATGATTTTTTTTCAACATATTAGATTCACAAAACAGGATCCTCATCACGTTTTCCACCATTCAAGATAAGAATACTTGATAATTCATCATTAATTGAATAATTTAAAGGTGTCATATCAAATATATTCTTGGCATTAACATTTGCTCCATGAGTGAGTAGAATTTTTGTCATTTCAATCTTATTATTAAGTACTGCATAATGTAGCGGTGTCATTCCATTATTATCTTTCGCATTAATATCAGCACCATTGATTAAAAGAAATTCGGCAACTTTCTCATCAAACTTGAAGGATAATATCGAATCATGAAGTGGAGTTTTTCCATCATCATCTTTTGAATTGACATCAGAATCATGTGAAACAAGGAATTCAATTAAGTCTATGCCACCAAATAGCGCTGCATAATGTAGTGGCGCTTTCCCTAAATCATCTTTTGAATTAACTTTTGCACCTTTAGAAATAAGATATTCAGCGACTACTATGTTATTATTTTGTGCTGCCATATGAAGTGCAGTTTTTCCTTGGGCACCTCTTGATTTGATATCCACACCAAGAGATATAATTGTTTCTATTACATCTATATTGTTTTTAACAACTGCGTTATTAAAAGCATTAGTTTCATATATGTCTGAAACGTTAACAATTGCTTGTTTTGATAAAAGAAATTTTATCATTTCAAGGTTGCAGTTCTCAATTGCATACATAATTGGTGTTTTATTACACATATCATGCGCATTAACATCAGCACCTTTTATTATTAATAATGTTACTATCTCAATATAATTGTTTATCACTGCAATGTGAAGTGGACTAAATCCTAAATTGTTTTGAACATTCACTTTTGCTCCAAGAGAAATGAGATATTTTGCAATTTCTTTATTCTTTGTATCCAATGCTGTCATAATCGGACAATTTCCTAAATCATTTCGTGCATTTACATCGGCCCCATGAGAAATAAGGATTTCCATAAATTGCAGTCTACTTTGTTCCACACAAAAATGAAGTGGTGAATTTCCATCATTAGTTTTAGCATTGACATTTGCCCCTTTTGATATAAGATACTCAAAAATCTCAACACTAGAATTTATTGATGCATTGCATAGAGCAGTCACTCCCATTTCATCTATTGCATTAATATCAGCTCCAGCATCGATAAAATATTTAACAAGATCTAAAGAATGAAATCTGGGCGAATAAATAAACGTTTTGTTGACTCTTTTGGTTTGATCTAAATAGATAATCAATGCTTGTATGTTAAAATGCGTCGCACAGCAATCTAAATCAATATTCAGACCATAATTATTCGCCAAATACTCTATAAAATTAGTGTTATGTGCAATAATTGCATAATGCATGCATTTTTCATTAGGATCTATTTCTTTTAGACATTCAGATATAATTTCAGGATTTCCACTTAAAAATGAAAATTGAAGACAAATAGGTGTGATTTCTACATTCAATGCTGATATTAAAATCTTGAAACAATGTGATGCTCCATGATAACAACATAATTCAAGAAAAGTATATCCTTGAAACACATTAACATCTTCATCTTCAGGTATTGGGTATAAATCACTTTTTAATAATGATTTTTCATTAAAATTGTCTTGATTAATGAGATATATAAAAGATTTTTTCATCATCATCCATGATTGCCCTATAAATTATGCCTTCTGGATGAACATCCAAAGTATAATTTTGAAAATCAATATTTGCTTTTTGCTCATCACTCAAATCACTTTCAATTTCTTTATCAAAAAAGTAAAGATATACGCTATTAATATCGCCAACATCTTTTGGATTAAAATCTTGAAGAATTTTTGTGAATATCTTGAAATATGATTTGAGGTAACGATTTCTATAATAAGAAACTAAATAAATTATGTTCAGTATTTGTGTTATTTGAGTTTTATTTGTTTTGATTATGAATTCTTTTATATGAGAATAAATTTCGTTGATCTCGCCTTCATCAATGGCTTTTAGCTTGTACAATAAACTGTATGCATTGTCATAATCTCCAAATTTGCTCATGAGATCATCATAAACCAAACGTGGAAATTCTTCTTGCGTCATTATCAATTTTAAATTGGAAACTAAAAGATATGTTACTCTTAGCTAGACAAAATATTAATAATGCATCAATTCTTCAATATGTCATGAAGAAACAAAGTTTCTATTAATATCTTGAATAAATCATGCCAGACTTGCTATCTGAATATAAGTTGAGAATAATATAACAAATCGTTCAGTTAACAATGTCGAATTATTGAATCTTATCCAATTTTTTGTTCTTTTAGTTTATAAGAATTGTATTTAAGCGGAAAATAAATATACAATGCATATTTATGATATTTCAACGCAAAAAGGAATACAAACTTCTGTTGAAAAAAGTGACATTAATGTGGAATGATTTATTAAACGAACAAATTCCCATAGATATTAATGTTTTTAATTCTCTTATTACAAAATTTAATACAACACAAGATTCAGAAGAACGCGAACGTCTCAATCAGCTCATTTTATCATTAAATGACCGTTCAGACACTTACAATATTACGATTCCCGTTATGGAATCAGATTTTCCTATTGTAACAAAGCTGAGTATATTAGTTATCTTTAAAAAGTTTGTGATAACAAATCTAAATAACATTTCTGCTGAAGAACAAACAAAATATAAAGATTTTTTTATGAATATTCTCTATTATTATTTAGAAAACAATAAATCACAAGTCCTCATTACCAAAATCGACGAGATTATTGTAGAATTCGCCAAAAAATACTATCCAGAACAATGGCCAAACTTTTTCTCAGATATTTACTCGCAAAATGATAAACCTCAGTTTTTCAAAAATGCAATCGACATGACTACAATGCTTTTATTAGAAGTAACTAACTACGACTCCACTACAATTCCAGCTTCAGATCAAATTCAGATCCAAGAGGGGTTTAAGAACGAATCAGATAAGGTTTTTGAAATGATCAGCAACGTGTTCGACAATAACTACCCAGAAGATATAATTTTATCCACTCTTTCGTTATACAAAACCTTATTTGAAATTTTTCCAACGACAGACTTGATACAAAACCAAATTTTCGAGCGTGTTTGCAACAATTATTTACTAAACCAGCAGTACACATTGAAAGTTTTACCTATTTTCAACTCATTTCAAGCGAGTAATATTTTAGATCAAGTTCCTATCATTCAGACTGCATTTAACCTCATGATTACGTCTCTACAGCCATGGTTTCCCGATGGAAACCTCGTAGATATCTCATATGAAGACTTAAATACAATAATTTTTTCTTTAACGAAATATATCAGTAATTTCTCATATGTTCTCGAATCAGATGATACCAGAGATGCCTACGTATTCGCCTTGACCTGCACTTTCTCTGTTTACCAACGATCAAATCAAGATTCAATCAGAATGTGCACAGAAATGTGGTATAACGTCACATTACGCATCTACCATGAAACCATTTTCCAGAACATGCCTTCTTTCGACTTCTACGTCGAAGCTTTCAAACAATTACGAAGATTTATGGTTTTTTCAATGGAAAGACCAAATGACGTCATAATCACTGTAGATGAGAATGGAGTACACGTTCGGTCTCAAATCCGCACCGAAAGCACCTCTTCCTACTATGTTTCCAAGGATTTAATGTCATTTTTGACAGGATTTGACAAAGAAGACACAATTTCTGTCATCAACGAATCCATTACATATATCAGCAGTTCCGAGCCATTTCTGTTTGGTCCATTTGAGTCTCTCTGCTACTGCATTGGTTCCTTGCGCGGTTCTTTCAGTGTCAAAGAGGAAAACGACCTGATTTCGAAGATTATTTCCTATCTTCTACAATTGATAGAGTCCAGACCGGAAGAAGAAGTGAAGGCGGCGACGGCGGCAGGATTAATGTACATCTGTTCGCAGTACACGCGATATCTGAAAGAATTTCCAGAAATTTTAATTTCTGTCATGAAAAAACTTGTTGAATTCACAGCATTAGGAAATGAAGCACTCCAAGACGCTTCTATAAAGGCAATGATCTCTATTGCTTCTGCTTGTTCTGAGATACTTTGCAAACCTTTTTCAAATGATTCATCTTTTTTGAATTTTGTCATCGAAAATTTTTCTTCAATTTTTGAAAATTTGACAAGTGACAATACAATTGAGATGTTTCACGTAATAGCGTTGATTGTTGTAGGCCTAAATGACGAGGAAGAACTCCAGAAGTACTTGGAAATGCTCATTTCTTCTCCTTTCCAAACTTTACAAAATCATTCTCAAAATTTGAATTTGGACGGTTTTGACAATGTCATTCAAAGTTTGATGTGTATTGATAAGATTGGCTATTTATTTGGCAGCACATTAATTCCTTTCCTTGAGAAGCTGATGCCGATATTAGTTAATTTATACCAAGTTTACTCCAAAATCGGAAATGATTCAATTTTGGAGTCAAATTGTCAAACACAAATCTCTGTCAATTCGAGGATATTGAAAAGCACGATTCTCAGTTTGATAGAGAAACCAACTAGGACATTACCTTTTCTAGAGAGGATTTGGAATTTGATACAACAACCTCTTTTCGAAGTTTTTGTTCCTGATTTCCATAATTCACAACAATATTGTAGACCATCTGTTTTATTGAATCTTCTTGCTGTTGTTTGTTTGAAATACAGAGAATTTATTGTTGATTATCTGCCGCAAATATTCGAACAAGTCTTTGAAGCTTACAGAGATATGATTGATTCTGATGATTACGAATTTACTTCGTTTAGAAAGGGAATGAACATTTTCCTTAAGAATTTGATAATGACAGGAATTATTTACACTGTTCCTCCAAATATTATTAATCTTTGTATTGAATATTTGCAGTATAATGCTCATGATATTGAACAAGAAGTTTCGGAATCTGCAATTAGAACATTGGCAGAAATTTACGCATCTGCAACAAATAAATTACCTCAAAATGAGGCCATGGAGTTCCAGAAATGTTATGTGAATGATCTCTGTTTGTTAGCATTTTCTTTGTTGACTGATTCATTACATAGATACGAATTCTTTGCTATTATGGACTTTTTGAGAGAAATCATTGCTTCAAACGCTTTTAAAGAGAATATTGTTGAAATTGTTAACTCTCTTTTGACTATATTTGAAAAACTTTCTCCGACAGATATTTACACAGAACTTGAAGGATTGAAATCATTCTCAAATCAGTTCATGATGTTTAACCAAGAACTCAATGATTTCCTGATTGCAGCAAAACAAGTCAGTCCAAGAGATCCAGCCCTTGTTAAAGTTCAGATGGAGACATTGAAGAAACAGAAACAAGAGGAAGAAAAACAAAATATGATTGAACAGGAAAAGGCTGAATTAGAGAAACAAGAGAAAAATGCAAAAGTTAATGATTTTGCAAATATGATTTCCAATTTCAAACTTCATTCATAATATTATTATTATATTTTATGTATATGTATATTTATGTTATTATTTGTTCATTTATTTCTAAAGGTTTATATATATATTCTGTTTTAACTGACAAATCTCATTAGAAGTGTATCAACTCTAACCATCATATCGAAGCAAAACTTGTTTCAACGATTAATGTTCATCCATATAAGTTCAATGATATTTTTATGGTCCCAAGTCACAGCTTGATGAAGAGGAGTATTTTGTTCCATATCTTTAGAATTGATGTCAATTTTAGAATTATTCAACAAGTACTCGCAAACGCCGACATTATCGTAAATTGCACAATAATGAAGAAGCGATGAATCATCCCAAGCTAGCCGAGTTAAATCAAGATCACCACTCTTTATGATATCAAGTGATTGTTGGAATGCTGCACACCATGGAATAATTGAATTCTTTTCTAAGTTGTACATGAGTAATAATGCTTTTAAGTTTTGCGAATTGATAATAAAATCATAATCAAAATCTTTCGGTTTAAAAAGTTCATGCTCGAAAACATAGTCAAGAAAAGCATTGTTATGAGATGAAACTATATATGTTAAACAGCCGCGATTTAATTTATGTGACTTCATGCATTCATTGATGATATCTGTATTACCACCGATAAAAGATAACTCCAAACAATCTTCTGAAATCTCATGATTTAAACTTGAATGTAAGAAGCTGAAAATATTCACCGCCCCGAAATATGCACAGGTTTCAAGAGGAGAAAAGAAAGGATAACTTGGAACATATAAGACAACTTTATCTAATGAGTTTTGAGTGATATATTCTTTGAATTTATCGATTTGGTCATACAAAATCATATACTGAACACTATCCTCGTCTGGAAAAGTATCAGAGTCTATTTCTACTTCATAAAGATCATTTACATAAGCATTGACATGAAGATTGTATGTGTCGACTTTGGCGAAGAGAGGAACGGCATTTGCTTCGGAGACTGGATTTGATGCTAAGATTTCATTGACAATAAATGTATAAAGATGAATCGATCGATAATTGTATTTAATTGCAGTAAATATACTCATAATAAGATCGGTGATATGAATTTTATACTTTGCAATTAAAATATTTTGAATGAGAACTAAAACTTCTTGCATTGCCTCGAATGACTTGATATGATAGAGCTTCTCATATGTATTTATAAAGTCTTCATACTGTTTTAAATACGTATCACCCATGGATATAGTAAAATTAAAAAAAAATAAAAATAAAACGGATTTCTGAAAAAAAATCATCAATCTGTTTCGAACTACTTGGTTGTGGAATATATTTAACCTTGATTTGCAAGTGAAAAATTGAATTGAAAAAAATTCACTCTATTAGCTTAATAGAATTGTTAATAGCTTTGAAAATGAAATCATTTTGGGAAAATTGTAAACTATACAAAATCCAAAGAAATTGTATCGTAATATTGATTATATATCAATTGTTTATCAAAAATATCTAAATTGTAATTTCCAAAATTTTACCAAAAGTGACAAGCAAAAAACACTTAGGGGAATTAAACATCATGACAAGACAGTGTTATTGTCATTTTAATGTTTTATTAGGGAAATAGTTTTTAATTAACTGTAACTAATAAAAAAACATAAGAAAGTTTGATCGCGATCATTCAATTAATTGAATAAAGATATAATTCTCACAAAATGTGTTTAGCTGTTTTATCAGCTGACCAGCTGAACAATTGCAAAAAATTCGAAGAGTTCACCGAACTCCTATGGCAAACTGACTATAGTATAATTCCAGACATTGTTGATATTACGAAAAAACTCATGGACGAAAATATAATCTGCAACGCGTTGATTGTGAACATAATTGATATGATATCATATAAAAATAGGAAAAATCTTAGATTTTATCATTCATTATTCAAAGAATTGGTAGATAAATTAATTGTAACAATACCATCGCACTATTACTTCTCATGTCAGCCACTACAAGCTGCGTTAATCAAAACTGAGTGTTACGATGGCGATACACCTGAAGAATACATCGATAAAAATCTAGACGAAATTTATCAAATTTATCCAAAACAAACAATTAACTACTGCTTATTCTGGGATGATGCTCAGACATTGGAATGCTTGGCACTATTACCGAAGTTTAAATTCAACGTACGATTGAGCAACGGTCTAAATTTATTGGACACAGCGGCGATGTTTGGATCTGAAAAATGTTTTGAGTATTTGCTTGCCAACAATGCAAAAGTTACTCAAAAGACACTGGAGAACGCTTTCTTCGGTAATAATTGCAGGATTCTGGAGATTTGTTGTGAATCGTTCAACATTACTCAGAAATGTCTTGATAATGCAATCAAATCACATCATAACGAATATGCATGCGAAATTATTGAAAAATTTGGATTTGATTTTTCATGGGATTCAACACTTTTCTTTTTCAACTTGAAAATGTTCTTTTACAAGTTAAATAATATCAACGATATCAATGTCTATGATTCTAATCATGATACCGCCTTAATTGTTGCAGCAAAAATTGGACTTGCATATATTGTTGAATTATTACTTAAAAACGGCGCAAACACAGAAGTTTATGATCATTTTAAAGAATATCCAATAATGCATGCTGTCGAAAACAATCATTTAAAGAGTTTCGGCTTAATTTTGCAAAATGGAGCTGATTTTGAAGCCAAAGACCATATTGGATGGACAACAATACTTTATTCTGCTTTACATAATAGGATTGATATCACAAACAAACTAATTGAGAAGAAAGCAATCAATTCTATCCAAGATAAGTATGGAAAGAACGCGTTATGCATTGCATCATATAATTGTTCAGTGGAAGTTGCTTCTGCACTTATAGATGCTGGTATAGATATGGATGTTGGTGATAAAAACAATTGGAATGGACTTTTTATTGCATCTGCAAATAATTCGCTCGAAATTGTTAAAATATTCATAGAAAGGGGCTGTAATATAGAAAGAAGAGATAAATGGGGTAATACGCCGTTTATGGTTGCTTGCGTTAAGAATAGCTTTGATGTTATAAAATATTTGAAAGAGAAAAATGCAGATATCAATGCAACAAGCAATTCTGGTAAAACAGCGCTTATGCTCGCAGCCGATAATAATTGTATTGAAGTTGTAAAGCTTTTACTTGATTTTGGTGCCAAAAAAGATATTAAAGACTGCAATGGATGAACTGCATTAGATTTTGCTCGTGATAACCATTTTATTGAGATTGAACAACTTTTATCAAGATCAAATTAAATTTTGTTATTATTTCCATGGATTTGTAATTTGTAAATGTTGGATGCGTTTATAACCTTTTTGTATATTTTTGATTTTCTTGAAGCATATAATTTCAATAAAAAAAATATAAATCTTTCAATGTTTATTACTAGGTGTATATCTCTTTAGAAAAGTCTAAACCCCTTCAATGTTACGCTCAAACAAAATTTAAATCACGATGAAATTTTAATTTTTTTTTATCATTTCGATCTCCCTTTGGAAAAAAAGTTGTGAATGCAGGTGTTATTATAATTTTTCGTTTTTTCCAATTTAACAACGTTGCTATAGTTTCATTCAATTTTTGGAAAAATGAAATCGTCAGAATTTATCTATTGAAAAATTCCAATCAATTATTATTTAATGTATGTACTTAGTAGAGTATTCCTTTTAAAAAATTTTAGAAAAATTTTGGCCCCTTTCAATTCATTCCGGCAGAATAATAATAAATTGTATTCCACTTACCCAGGATCCTGTCCCTTGGAAGAAGGGGGCATTGGAGAATGCGAAGGGCCACCTCATCGTTCATATGAACGGTGTTATTTCTCCAAGCAAGCGTGTTGCCTTTCGTTTTATCCACCTCATAGGTTTTGGCGAATTTGGTAGCGTTTATGAGGCTATCGCATTACACACTAATGAGCACTGTGCTATTAAGGTATCCACTAACAATACTTCCTCAAAAGACTCAGCATATCGTGAGAATTGCGTTTTAAAGTATATCAAGCGTGACAAGACAGCTCCAATTCAGTACGCATGTAAGTATGTCGACTACTTCGAATACAAAGATCACGTTTTCACTGTTACAGAAAAATTAAATTGCTCAGTCTTAAATATCATTGAACAGAGCGGATATCGTGGCATTTCACTTGCAAAGATTCAGAAGATCATCCGTGATGCCTCAATTTTCATTTCTTACTTACATAAAAACAAAATGTGCCATGGCGACTTGAAGCCAGAGAATATCATGCTCGGTTTCGATGGAAACTTCAAGGTTATCGACTTTGGCGGTTGCTTAATTTATGAGGAAGAGTTTGCAAATACATATTTCCAATCCCGTTATTACAGAGCACCAGAAGTTATGTTACGTCTTCCAGCAACCGTAAAGATTGATATCTGGTCATTGGGTTGCATCGCTGCTGAGCTTGCAATTGGTCTTCCAATCATTGCCGGCACTTCGGAGCTTCATTGCTTACAGTTAATGGAAACTCGTTGTGGGGAGATTCCAGCGTACATGAAGAGCGTCTCTCCACATTACAATGACTTCTTCGACAAGAATAGCGAACTTATTAACAAAAATACAATGGAGGATCCCTCCACATTACATCTTGAGAAGCTCTCAGGAATTATCATGACATACAGAGATAATCATGGCGATTCAGACGAAGATAAGTTGAAATTCATCAACTTTTTGGGTGGAATGTTATGCATGGATCCAAAGAAGAGATTTTCAATTGAGGATGTGTGTAACCATGAATTCCTTCACATGAAGTTCAACAATAGCGAAGATATCTAATTTCATATTATTGTATTTATGCTTTATGCATGAATGTATCTGATATCAATGATTTTTGCTGAGGTCATTGAATTAGTTGTTTTGGGACGTTTTTATTTGGTAATTTTGAGTTGTATTCATATTACCGAATTATTTCTTTTCACAGTTTGGAGATAACGAGTTTTCATTCGTTTTCATTTGTTATTTTGATCAGCAATATATTGTTTTTAAATATTATTTTATTTTTAAATTTTTATCTGATTTAATTATTTTGGACTATTCAATTATTTAAACATAGCATCTGATGGTGCGGTAATTGAAAAAAATGAAGTATTTAAGTAAAATATAATATGTTCAATTAGAAATGCATATCTTGGTCATTACGATAGGATTTAAAGTATTTATGCATTTGATTGGGTTCAATAATGGATATAGAATGGTGATTGAGGCAATGGTTTCTGACATTAAAGTTGTTCAATTACAATTCAATGAGTTTTATTTGAATTATTCATATCAACGAGTATTAAAATGATATGACTATATTATGTCATGGTATATCATCCGATATTGATTACTCAGAATCTAATCAATTTTTTCTTAGAGTTAATCATCTACTGTATAAGCTAAATCAAGCGATTTTTAAAATCATGAAAGGTCCGTAACTTCTCAAAAGCGATTTGAATTAAAATTACCCATCATCATGAAATTTACATTGTTAAAATTTTTGAAAGGAAAAAATTCTATTCAAAATAAAATTATTATAATTATATACTTTGATTAAAAATATAGATTTTTGAAATAAGAAAAAAAGCAAATGTCTAAAACAGGATTTTAAGTGAGTTTCTCTGTTGTATATATGATGTATTATATAAATACATGATTAAAATCAAATATTAAAAAATGCGCGTGGATATTCAAAATTTATACTTGCTTTCAAAAATTTGAAATCTAAAGAAAATTTATCGAAGAATTCATTGAAAAGCTTTTATGGTCAAACAAATAATAATCTCTCCTTTCTTGATGTAAAAAGCTTTAATAAGAGGGGATGATATCAGCTATTATCAATCGAAGGTATAATATTCATCGAATAACAAGCCGAAGAATGGAACCCGCTTTAATTTAATAAATATTATAAAAAAAGGCCATCATTCATTGCAAAACTTCTTGTAATCTTACTACATGAATACATTTATTAAGATAATGCCATAATCCAAATCATTATTTAATTTAATATAATATCTTGCGACAGCACGAAAATCAAGATGATCTTTCAGCATTTGGAAACAATCGGATTAATTTACAATCATTTATTTACAATATTTTATTTGATATTTTTCAGAGGGTGTCCAACCAAAATAACCTTAAAATGAATTTTACCTTTTTGAGTTTTTCTTCATATTCAGAGGAAGTAGAGAAAAGTTTAAACGGGAAATACATGTGAATGCATATCAGCATTATGCTCGAGCTGGATTTGTATATTTTTCTTTTCGTAATTTGAATAAATTCGAAAAATACTGATTTATAAAATTATAATAAGAATTATAATTTACATTAAATATCTGATAAAATAATAAAATAAAAATGATGATTTTTTGAATCAAAAAATTGAACGATGATTTTTTCAAATTATTATATTTATTGTAAATAACAACAACTGAAGGTGAGATATTGAATATTCATGATTGGGAATAAATGTTCAATTTTGAGATTGAGTTGAGATATCATATTAAAAATTGATTTAAAAGGTTAACATATAGCTTAATGATATGTAATATATACATATTATGAGATATGCATATTTAAAAGGGGTATGATCGTTGAAAATGGTATGATTCCTAATTTAATCGGTAGGAAAATATTATGAAATTAAATAATTAAAAGAATTTCAAATAACTTCTATGTGTGGTATTAAAAGTATCAATATATAGCAAATATAGTAATTAAGGTTTAAAGAAAACAGGGGACACAATTAAACATCTTATATTAATAATAAATTGAGAGCATGTCAATATCTCATAGTTCAATTGGTTTTCTGGTAAAAATGGATCGGTAAAGGTTGCAAGTTTGATTATGATCAGCGTTTTTTTAATTTTGAACGATAATAAGATTGTGAATAATAGATAATAGCAACTAAAACATAGTTCGAAAATTTACCTAAAATGATAGAGTATGGTAGGAAGTACATACCCAGGTATCTAAAATATCACCTAAAAGCGCTCTTAATTTATGCCAATTGGCATAATAAAGCTACAATTAGAATGCTGACATGATGAAGAATCATTATGAATCATAATTGGCCAGTATGATACAAGATTTAAGAAATCTTAGAGATTATCTGATTTCATGAAACCAGTGATTACTAAGTTTCAGACTTTGAAATTTTAACATGTTGATATAGGTACATAGGATTTATGATTCCAGTCATTTATTTAAAAAATTAGGAATAAGAATTAATATGATGTGAGTAACATTGGTAATAAATGCTTAATTACTAATATATTATTTCTTGGTAGAAATTAAATGTTTTGGTGGTATTTATAGAAGTTAAGCTGAGAATCAAAAATGCAAAATTTAATTTATTTTCGTGTATCTATATGGGTACACTAAGTTATTGATGTATATATGAAAGAATCATGAAAATGAATTGTGAATCTCAATATTACCCTATATTTCCAACTCTTGGAAAATTTTCATGACCCCGTACCCAGGGTCCTAAAATGGGTATTTTCCTCACACAGACACCGTGGTTTTTTGAGCCGGGAAATAAATAGCGCAGACAGTTTCTACATATAGAGACATGCTTATACTTAGAGTTTGACGGGAATCTAAAGTGATTTTTTTCTGCATCGCGAAATCTAATGCAATCTCAAAATCATGAAGAAACTGCGAATCGGAGCGCAATTTTTTAATATGTTAATATATAAAGGTACCCCTACTACTGCAAATGCTTCAAATGAAAATCTAAGAAATCAGAATTATTGATCACATTAGTATAGTATTGGTCAAACCAAAAAAAAAAAACAAAAAAATAGCCTATAGATATTCATATTATCTACTTTTCATTGAATTACATAAGATTTAATAATCTCATAAATATTCTTTTTAATTTTCCGAATTCCGTGTGCATTTAGATTGCCTATACCTGTATATAATAATTCTAGAATGGTTTGGTTAGATATTAAGTTTTTTAGATTAATATTTTAACATTTTGATAAAACAAGCATTTGTTCCATTTTAGAATCGCCATTGAACTCTAGTTTGACTAACATGATGTTGTATGATCAAATAAATTCTAACTTCATGAGATAAATTTTGAAATTAGAAAATGCGATATCTGACTCAAATATTTATCTGAACACATTTAACATTCAATGATAAACTAAAGTACTATACAGCAGATTCGATTTGGCTTATATTTTAT